TCAAATGGTGGATGACCTGCAAATATTTCCCACATTAACATCCCAACACTATAGATATCTGATTCTTTTGTGTTCTTCATGTTATTGCCTCTAAGTAACTCGGGTGCAACATATGATACAATTCCATAGACTTTATTTGATGATTCTTCATCAACGGGTCCACATAATCCAAAATCTGTAATAAAACAACCACTCCCTTCCACAAGTATATTACCACTATGTAAATCACAATGGATTAAATCTTTTTCATGTATAACATTTAATGCATAACATAAATATCTAAAGATTGTAATTCTGTCATTTAATGTTAAATTTAAACGACTTTTTTGCAAATAATCTCTTAAATTTCCTTCTGGATAATAATTTAAAACAATTGCATAATTTCCATTATCGGGGAATTTAGTTATACCATGGCACTTAACAATTAAATTTGTTTGAATTTTACAATAATTCATTGCCTATTGAATATAAAACCAATTAGTATTATTTAATACAGTATTGGTTTAAATTACAACTACTCACCTCATCAAAAAAGGCTTTTCTTGGATTACTTGAATCATTTAAACTTTTTAATACTACTAGTTGCCCTCTATCTCTAAAATAACTAAATTCTTTTTTTTTTTCGTCGTAACCATTTATTTGTCCTCTTGTCCATCCAGCAGTAAAAATTGAACTAAATCCACCTTCTGTCAACTTTGTTACATCGTAAAATTGCTCAAAAGGTATCCATTCAACAATATAAGTTGGCAGAGATGATATCATTTGACATTGTTGAATAAAATCATCAATTATGTTATCACCAGATGTCCAAGTGGTGAAAAGGCTCTGTAATTGTAACCTAATACAACCTTCACAGAACCTATCAGAGTATCTCATTGATTTACACTTGTCACATTCTTTTGGTTGGCCTTTTTTATGAGTTGCATTATCTAATTCAAAAGTATGAATAAACTTTTCCTTACAATACTCTTTTTCATTTTCAGCAAGCTCCTTGGTTTTTTTGACTAATGAAAAGAAATAATCTTTCATACTTTCTATATCAGAATTAATTGCTGTGTTATGATATATTCTAGCAAAAATTTTATATACAAATTCCTTTCTTTCTGATGATAACGATGATATTGGGTTAACATTTGACATTATATAAAATATAAATATAAAATTCGACTTAATGTTTCAATGAATCTGGAGATTTTTTGAGAATAAAGGTCAAAAGAAAGGTATTTACGGTTTCTTTTTAAATGTTGTGATTTTTATTTTATGCTTTCCTAATCACAAATTTGAAACGTTTGCCCTATAGAAAATAAATGTAAGGAAACCCTTTTTCCTTACGTCAAAATACTATATAATTGTTTTAATTATTATTTAAAAATAAAAGTTATACAATTTATCTTTATTAATTACGGAAAGCTTATCTTTTTATACAAAAATGCATAATATAATATTACAATTAAATAAATAAATTATTATCAATCATAGTAATAATAATATCTTAGGACTTCCCGGAAAGCTGCAGCACTTAATTTGTAACTCATATACATAAGAAAATAATATAAATAATAATAATATAAGTAATATAAATAATAAGTAATATAAATAATAAGTAATATGACAATAATATATATAAGTAAAGTTGTGACGTTTCGTTTTAATTTAACGCGTTACGCGAAATAAATTTCGTATTACTGTGCCACATTACATATTCGCAATTAACGAAAAAGAACTGTTACAATAAATGTACGGAATATGTAAGGAATAAAATTTTAAATACGGAATGAACGTAAGTTTTGAAAATTATCAAATTCCTCACATGATGTACATTATTATTATGGCAAAGGAAACCCCATAAAATGTAGGTTTTAATTCCTTACATGATGTTTGGTATAAAGAAAATTCCATAAAATGTAAGCTTTAAATTCCTTAAACAATGTATTATGTCACTGAAAAGGTACATTTTGATTCCGCATATAAGGTACGGGATAGGTACAGAATTTGCAACATACTGAATATGAAAAGGTACATTTTAATTCTGCATATAAGGTACGGAATTTGTAACATATTAGTACTAATACTAATGATGAAAAGGTTCTAGTACTAGTATGTTTTTGATTCCACGTATAATATACATAATTTTGATCAAACCCGCCTATATAATTATTGAATAATTGATAAACATTCGTTTTGCAGACTTCATAGATCTTGACTAACACTTGCTTCGATCAAACTCACCTATATAATTATTGAATAATTGATAAACATTCATTTGGCAAGCTTTATAGATCTTGACCAATGTTGTGACCCTAAACTCAGAGTTTAGGGAAATTCCGAAACCGAAACCTCCCTAAATTAGTTTAGGGAGTTTTTAAAATCCTAAACCTTACCGAAACTTAAACCCTTACCTGAAACCTAAACTCTTACTGAAACTAATTTTATACCGAAATACAAAAATCACCAAAACCTACACCCTAACCTAAATTTTTACCAAAACTCCTACTGAAACTAATTTTATACCAAAACACAAACTTTATACCAACAAATTATTTTTATTTTCTGAACTATTTTTACACCAAACAATAACTATTTTTTATGCCAAAAATTAATTTGTTTTTATTGTAAAATGTTACCAATTGATTTTATTTCAAGAATTTTTTTAGATGGATTAAAAAGTTTAAAAATTTTATTCTAATTTAATTGCTATTATTTTATTTTTTAAACTTTTTAATCTTTATAACTTTTTTTAATTCTTTTCCTTAATGTAAATTTTTTCTTTGGTGTATTTTTAGGTTTTTCTCTTTCATCTTCATTTATTTCAATATCAACATCATTATCTGAACTTTCATCATTACTTCCATATAAATCAATGTTATTTTCAACCCCCCTTCTATTAATATTACTAATTTTTTCACCACCATCATTAATTTCTTCAGAACTTTGAATTTCATCATTATCAAAACCTAAATTATGTGAATCATAATCCAAATCTTCCTCATCAGTATCACATTCATAATTAATTGTTTTTTTTCTTTTTGCAGTATTAATATTATTTTCATACATCACATCAAAAAAATTGGAAACCAAACCATTGGGTTATTTTCATAATTTTCATTATGTTGTAAATTCTCTACACTCATATCAATTTCATTTTTGTTACTACCTTCATAATTAAATAAAGAATTATTTAAATCTATGTAGTCTTCTATTAGAAAATCAATATCTCTATTATGGTTTACATTTCTCAAATTCAAATAAATAATAAGCGGAATTATTGATTTGAATTTTGAGGGTAGTTAGGTTTTGGATATGGATTTAAGTTTGGGTAAGGTTTATGTTTGGATATGGGCTTAGGTTTTGGTGTTGGTTTAGGTTTCGGGTGTGGGTTTAGGTTTCGGGTAAGATTTAGGTTTTGTAACCCGAAATAGACATTTATTATTATTATCCCTTAAACATACAAGAATTGCATGCTTAATCGGCACGCAATTTTTGAAAAAATGTAGACCCCTAATAAATAAATAAATAAATTATTAATTGACCCTATATTTTTTTGAGGTTTTTTAATAGAAAAAAGGTATGATTTTGTGTACAAACGTCCATTAAATTATTATTATTTTACAGAAGTATTATTAATAACGAAATAAATGTATTTTTCGAAAAACCTCAAATTAATTTTTTAAAAAATTGCAATTTGTAATAAATTTTATTCTTCGAAACCAGCATTATATGTGATAATACATGCTCTAATTCGCTAGTTTAATTAGGAGAAGTAACGTGATTTAGGTATAATAATAAAGTATTTTTAACATTCCATTTAACAAGTGGATCTCTTGTTTTACGTGTTTGTAGTATCTAATATTATGAACAATTAAAATAATGTAAGTTAGCTAATAAATTGTTAACTGCTTTATATCAAAAAATTATATATTTACCTTCCTTCTATTTGATTATTATCGAAAAACAATGATAAGCTAACTTTTGAGAAGAGCCAGGAATTTCCTCTATTCTATTATGTTTCTTTTTTTTGTTATTTTTAAAAAATCCAATTCTTTGAGTCTGTCTTTAACTTCATCAATTTTGATTTTGT